ATCATCATCAACAACAACAACGATCCGGACAGATAAAACTATCAGTTGCTTTTTTTTTTGGGGGGCAAGTTGAGGAAGGTGCAATTATGGTGAGTTGAATGGCCGAGTGAATTTGACGAAGTACACCATGTGGCGGCTTCTGCTAAATGAATTTAAGTTTAAGTCTCCCTTTTCAGAAATCTAATTTCCACTATTCCTGGACAAGCTACTTGCCACTCATCTCATCTTCTGGCCAATTCGATCGAGCCCTGCTTTCGTGGCCTGCTGCTGAATACGTGGCTTTGATGAACAATGGGGTTGGATTTGCTCAAGATGAAGCGCTGAATTCGGTCTTGGCTCTGATAAACATTAGAGTTAGAATCGGGTTTGATAAACACTCGGTTTAAATTTGCCCTCGATGAACGGTAAAATAGGGTTTGGTTCTTCCGAAAGCTGATCTTTGATTTTGATAAATGATTGGACCACGGTTGACTGTTACGAACGTTAAGGCTGGCTATGATAAATTCAAGGATAGAGTTGGCCGTGTAAAGATAAGGACTGAACTTGGTACTCGAGTTCGACTTGGCTGTGATAGAGACTAGAACTGAACCTAGTTATGTTAAATACTTGAACTGGGCTTAGCTGTGTTAAACACTAGGGTTAAAATTGCCTGGAATATCTAGTAAGATTGTTTGAAAATTACATATTTTAACGGATCAGGTAAGTTTGCAGTCTGTGTTTCATCCCTTAGCTGTAAATGGATGCGAATGGGAAGGGGAATGGTCAGTGACAGCCTTCTAACGCTATGTAATAATCCGAGCTGGATTTGCTCTCGATTAATACAAGAATCGTTCTTGGCCACTTGGATATAATGCTTTAGGTTGAATTTAGCCCTGATAAACTTGGACTTGCCCGCGATGGAGATTTAGAATAATTGCTTCATAAGAAAGTAGGTGTAATAAAAACAGATGATTTAGAAGCACGTGGAAAATAACAGGTAAGTTCTATATTTAGGAAAACAAACATGGAAAATTCAGAAATGAAATTAAGACAGTTAGGACATAATAAACAAGAATTTTTCAGTCTATTATTTTATACACATTCTAATTTAGTACCACAACTAGATTTCGTCAACACGGCGGTTGCGAGTTAACTGTAGTGCCAAACTCAGTTCTTGTATTTATACAGCCAGTTCTTGTGTCTATACCAATCTTTTCTGATGATTCAGGAATTAAAAGGCTAGTCAGCATTACTCTCTCAAAAAAAAAAAATGCTGGCTTACAAGCAGCAACTTTGTGTACCGTGAGTTAGCTTTCCCTTTTTTCTCTCTTCTCTCACTCTCCCTTGTTTAACTGTGATAAAGAAAGAGAAGCGCAAAGCATTCAGACTGGAGAGGAAGGGTGCTTAAAAAATGTTTTTTCGATACAAATTACTTTAGCTTTTTTCAGGTTTGCATTGAGATTATGAATGATGGAAGTGATAATATCTGTCACCGATAAATGACAATTCAAATCTTCCCGAATTTTTTGATTTTTGCACACTTATCACTGTTATCTTTGGCCGGTCTGTACTGATTCTGGACTCGGATTCCGGATCGTCCTTTATCCCACCAACCATATTCCGAAAAAATTTGCTCATTTCTTTTGGATGCCGTTTCAATTTGCATTCGTCCTGCTCATTCTGATATTTTATTTCACTGGCGGTGTAACTTCTCTGAACTGTTGGTACTGCCACGGTGAAGCTGTGGCTGAGGATAGTTGGATGATGCCTGCCAGCTCTTGCTGTAAACCGGATATTATTGCCTGTAATCGTAGCTATTGCTATATTGCCAAAGTGGAAGGCACAACGACATTCTGGATTTCGGGATGCACCGATGACGATTTCAATGGTAATTTTCATCGTTCTATTTAAATTGCTTAAACAGTCAGTGCAGAAATGTTGACGCTATTAAGATATCTTAAATTTTAAAGGGATGTTTTCTTAAGGGGAGGGGATGTTTTTTGACAGTCGTGGTGGCACTCTCAATTCTTTTAGCTAGAAGCATCTGCCGAAGAAAAACAGTGTGGTTGGCAACAAAATCCGGCGGGAACTGTGAAAAAACGCATTTTCACACCGGCAGTAGGGTCACCAATTTTTGTCACTTATCTGGTTAATAATTAAGATCTGCGTTTCAAGCACATTTTTGAGGTTTACCTTTCTTCCTCAGTAAGGGTTACTGATAAGCACTGATAATAAGAAGGCTATGGCCTTTTGAATTACATTTCACCTCGCAATTCACACACAGAAACCCTGGAAATTTCAGGATGTGATCATCACCATATCCCGTACAACTCAACACTTACACGATGCCAGTGTGATAGCGATCTGTGTAGTCCAATCGAAAGGATACCACACTGTGCCAAAGAATTGGTACATAACAAATCGAAGATCATACTTGCGAAGAATGCAGGCCAGAGACCCAATAATACGCCAGCAAACTTGTCAACGAGGTGCAACACTTCATTATATTCGGCATGGCTACTTATAACTGCGTCAGGTGAGTTACCTTCTTTTTTTTTTTTTTTTTTCTTATAAAAACGTCGCTGGGTATGGCGCATTGGGAAGTGGTACTAATTAAAGGCTAATCTCTTTGTATTCATTCGTTTCGATGGTAAATTGGTACTGGCAAATTTTCAAGAAATTTAGAGACGATTCAGGGAAATTTTCAAAAAAATTTTAGGAATGGCGATATATTCACATCGACAATCATGAACAACAGCTGAAAGAAAGAAAGAGAACGGCTCACAATGCTCATATCATTGCAGTTTTTCGCTACTTTTATCGTATTTTGCGCAGAATTTCTCAGATTCCTGAAGACTCGCTGCATTTTTACATAGTTTAATCCAACTCCAGTTACTTTCCATGTGTTAATTTTTGGTTTCACTTCCGTTGCGTGTTATGCTCCTGCATGCAGTATCTCGTTGATTTCCCAAAGCACGATTTGTGTTAAGAACTATGTCATCCGTGAAACGTAGGTGGTCCGGCTACGAAGTTGAAATTTTAGAAATACATTCCTCGACTATGCATAGACTCTAAACCCATGAACGATTAGTCTTCAGAATTCACCTTCAGCGGAATTATCAATCCACTAAATCATAGATGTTTCTAGCTCCATGCTCTCAATGTGTCTAAAAGATCTTTTAGGATTATGTATTTTGCCCTCACAAAAAAACTCACTAGGAAGAGAACTAGTGCCGCATCCATATATATTCTTATTCAAGCCTTTATGTGTCCTTCCGAAGCATAAAAAAATAGCAAAATTCGTCGCCTTGGAAACTGCAGTTATTGGAAAAGCGGATTTTTTGGCTTGTATATAAGCGTTGAGAAAGTTGGAGATGGAAAGGGAGCATAAGCGGCTATAGTTAGAGGATAGTGATTTTAACTGATCATAATAATGATTATAATGATGAAGAATGCAAAATAAAAGTAGAAATTGATTACAAATGATTATAACTGTCACAAAAATAATTGCGGAAAATAATAACTTGAAGAAAATGACAAATTGGAAAATAGTGATTGCAAAAAAGTGGAAAATAACAAATGATTATAACTGGAAATAATTATATAAAACTAAGTAATCCTCACCATTCCACATATACAGCGCTGTTTCCACCGTTTTTTTCTTTTTTTTTTTTTTACAAGAAAAACTGTGCAAAGTACTGGAAAATGTATTTGCGATGATTGAAGTTTCAGTAAACATGAAGCTTACTTAACCAGTTAAAAAACGATCTCATTCCCCGATCACTATAGTTAGTTGCTACTTGTCAGTTACCCTAACGGTCACTCTAGTGGTCAGCCGGCCAGCAAAAACATTTTGATTTCTGAAAGAGCTACTTAATTTTATTCAGAACACCTTCCAGCGGCACAGCCGACAACCAAGCCATTTTCATCGGTTTTTATTTCACTGTTGTTTTGATCTCAGAATGCTGCCCGAAATTAGCCACATTCAAAAAACAAAAAAAAAAACTTCAGAAAATGCAACACAGAAAAGAACAAAAAATTTACTCGTGTAGGAATAATCTGACAAAAACAAATAAGGAATCAAATTACTCGAGAAAAAATATAGCTCTAAAACACAACTACTTGAAAAAAATGCAGCTCTAGAAAAATGAACGAACAAAAAAGACAAATAAATAAGTGGGATAAATGAATGAGTTAAATTCGGCTGATGAGAATTTACATCATTTCGTAAAACTCGATAATAATTCGCTAGCTCATCATACAAATCGCCAACTCATCATCATTCTTCCCCCTCTTCCGAAAAATAAAGCAAAGCCTGCTAATCACCGTGAATTTACCGCACTCGGATCAATCCAAATCCCTTCCTGCTCTTCGCTTTTCAAAGCAGAAAGAAAGCCTGCTGCGTACATCCTATATGGATCCCCGATTTTTTGAATTCGTGGAAGATTGCGAAGAAGGCTCTAAATTCCACTAACAGGGGTAGCTGGAGTTTCGTTATGCCCATATGTGCAACAAGGGTCGGATACATCTGGAAATAAAACAGAAAAACAAGAGGGGTATGGTCGGACGAGACACGAGTGTGAGCTTTAGAGATGTGAAATACTGAATCTGAGGCTTTTCAGGATTTAGCAAGGCCATAACAGATCCTCCGTTTCCAAACATGTTGAAATTCTGCGAATTCATTTTGCTGCTAATCGGAATCACAACGCGTTCAATACAAAAACAAGAAAAATTCATCCTTTGCTTGTTCTAAAAAAACAAACTAGGATGCTATAAGGCAATGAGATAACAACCACAGCATTCTCGATTCAGTAAAAAAAAAAGCTGCGACGTACGAATGCGAAAAGTGATCACTGACGAAAGCTGAAGAGCAAGCACTTACTGTGACACACACAAAGAGCAACGGGGCGAAAAATGGTTGACGTGTCCGTTCTTGACCATATAAATGGTCTGGATGTGCGTCTCAGATAAACGATATGCAGGATATTATTTCGACCATGCCAGAAAGTAAAATCCCACAGGCAAAGCATGTTACTCGCTTTGCCGGCAACTGTTGGACATTGAACAATAGTGGGTGAATGGCACCCACAAGAAAGCAAACGTAAATCAAATTTTTTTTTTTTGAAAAATTTTCCGTCACGAATTTATTTAAATCCGTGAATTTTTTTTTTTCATGCCTTCAGATTTGAACACGTTGTGATTCCGATCAGTAGCAGTAAGAACATGCGAAATTTCAACCTGTTCCAAAACGAAAGATCCGTTGTGGCCCTGCTAATTCTGAAGTCTCAGATGCGGTATTTTACATCTCTGAAGCTCATACTCGTGCCTCATCCACCGGTTCGCTTCCTCTTGTTTTTCTGCTTTATTTCGAGATGTATCGGACCCTCGTTGCATATATGGGCATGAGGAAACAGCAGCTGCCTCCTGTTAGTGGGATTTACAGCCCTCTTCGTTCCAATCTTCCACGAATTCAAAAAATCTGGGATCCAGATAAGATACAAGTACCAGGTTCCCCTTCTTCCTTGGGAAGCGAAGAACAGGAAAAGATTTGAATTGACTCGAGTGCGGTAAATTCACGGTGTTTGGCAGGCTTCGTGCCTTATCCTTCAGAAAAGGGGAAAAGAGTGATGATGAGTTGGCGACATGTATGATGAGCTAGTGATTTTTTTATCGAAAACACCAAGACCGCTCGAGCAAATCGTGTGCATATCCCTTGTCAGCTAACAACGATATTACTGGGATACTCGCAAACGCCGCGTGCAGCTAAAAACAAATATTTTGAAGTGTCGCCAGAATTACCGGGTTTTCTCGAGAAGTCACATCGAAATGCAAAGAAGCGTTAAGTGTGAATTGACAAAAAAGTATAACTGTAACTCAAGCAAAAGGTGATGTAATTGCACCCGATGTTTGAGAACATTTCAGTGAAATCGCCGTTTCTTCAAAACTGCTAGAAATTTAGCTCATCAATTTCATATCGCGTTTACAGCTAAGGGATGAAACAGAGACTACATCCTAAAATGCCTTCTTACACATGACACTTAAGTCCAGTCCCTCGATTCTACTACTTTTTTTACCCTTCTTTGTTCAAACGCGTGACATATATGCATAAAAATATAAATATGTCCTGCTTCATGAATTAATTTATCGTAATCGCGCTGGTACTCGACACTGAATAACCACACTAACTATCCGGGGGGTTTTGATGCCAGGATGATAAGAGAATGACAAATACAAATTCCAAAAATTCTGAATAAAACATCCTGATAACTGCGGTAAAAATTACAAGCCTAGGGTAAACCATAAATCAACAAATTAAAAGTAACAAAGGCGACTGAATAAATCTGCGAAAACACCAAGAAAAAATGTAGATATAATCAGGAGATAACAAAAGTACACAATTCGCATTTGAAGGATAAATCTCTCGATTTTGCGGATATCTTCCGCAAAATCGAGAGAACCTCTTACACACAGCAACTGTAATGCCCGACACTGAACAAAGGCATACTGGATATTCTGTTACTTACCGACGTGTCCAAAAAATTCTATCTTCCGACACGGCTTTATCTTGTAAGAAAATCTTCGACATTTTCAAAGATCTTCGAGAGTTTCTTAGGGGATAAAGCCGTATCGGCTTATAGAATTTTTTGGATACGTCGGTAAGTAACAGAATATCTAGTATGTCTTTGTTCAGTGTCGGGCACTACAGTTGCTATGTGTAAAAGATTGAATTATCAAATGAAAGCTAATGAAAGGGGAGTGGGGGAACGAGGAAGAAAAAGGGGAGAACGGGAGGGGATAGGGCCGAAACCACACCATCCTGGAAGTTTTTCGAGATTTTTCACTAAAAGATCTGGCCTACTTTCAAATTCTTTTATATACCCTGACAAAAAAAAGTGGTACTAAAATGCTTCCGACAAATTGTGATACTTCAAGGAAAAAAACAAAAATGGCACCAACAAATATGAAACACAAGCAAAGAATTTTGACCGCGATCAGTTTGCTTTCTCAGCAATCACCGGACAAAAAGTGTCCAGTAAAAGTTCATTAGAAGAAAAACAGAGCGTTGATAAAAGCCATTACTCATGTAGACCTACCACAGTGTCAGGATTTTCAAAAAGACTTCCCAGTATAATCACAAAAAGACAATCTAAACATCCTTTGCACCACTGCTTTCTCCAACTCTCGCTTCGTAACATCCAGCGCTCGCTCTTTAGCTTTCGTTCATCCGGTCACGTTTCGCCTTCTTAGAAAAGCGGTATTTCAAATTCAACACCACACTCGCT